TCCTTAAACTTGCAATATTATAAGAGGATGAGCTAAAACGAAAATGATAATTTTCACTTTGATATCCTAAAGTTTACATCTTTCTACTTCAATAGGCTGAAGGATTTCTTAACACTTTGATACCCCAAACTTTGAATCCAATTTTACTTCGATACCCAAAGTATTCATGTAACATTTTAATATCCAAAGTTCCAATCATATTTCACTCTGATACCCTATCCAAGTTGTGTTAGATCTTTTGTTTAATTTGTATGGTGCCTTTAGCATCTGATACATTTAGATTCAGTTTGCCCAGTTGCTAAAACAGCAGTAGAAAATTAACAAAAAAATCTAATAGATCTAGATGTAGGTATCAAAGTTAAATGAGATAGAAACCTTGGGATATCATAGTGTTAAAAAGTACTTTGGGGTTATGAAACTAAAATACGATTAAAACAGTGGGATATCAAAATATTGAAAAAAGTACTTTGGGGGTTTCAAAGTTAAAAATTGGTAAACTTTGAGATGTCAAAGTGAAATAGTAGGTACTCACTTATTATTTTAAAGATTTTCTCTGAGAGAACAACCATGTTAATCAACATATGGGTGTGTTAATGAATCGACAAATTAAACAAATTTAAAAGTTTATAATTATAAATTGATGCGAGGGAAAAAATCTATCAACAAGAGCTAATTTCTCCTAATTACTTGTATATGTCACAAATTTATACTCACATGACCATATCAACAAATTGTAGTTAATCAACTACATGTTATTCTCTTAACTTGATAATTAATACGGAAAAAATTAAAAATAAAAATAAAAAAATCTTTAAAAGAATTCACCACTGCAACTAAGTTCATACCAAAACCTATTTGCAAGATGTAAGAATTAATATTTCTCCAAACATTCAAATCTCGATGATATCACCTATAATGGGTGATTAAGTGACCAAATATAGTTCCATGTACTTCTACTGATGATTGACTATGCTACTTTTGAAGATGATACTGTGAACACGAGACCGTTATCCATGCTCTTCTAGCAATAATTCAGTATGTAATTATATCTGATGATAGACATACATTGTGTTGTTATGTCATGTGCAATTATATCTGTTGTCAAGCTCCAAATGGAGCCACCAAGACTGCCATCACCTTCAAAATTACCTCTAATTTCTTAGCAATAAGAAAGTATCAATACTCATCAATACGCTACGAAGCTGGCGCTTCATGGTGTTTAAGAAGTTCACAAAGGCCATTCTTATGGTTTTCTTGGAGTAGAGGAAGATGACTTAATTAAAAAAATTAGTATCTTATTGACTCTATACTTAATTAAGAAGTATTAATATCTTATTGTTAGATTCGTAAAGCGATCTTAAAATTAGCCAATTCCCACGCATGCGAGCTAATTTCTCCTGACCTCAACATAATTTTCATCTACACCAAAGAGAGAGAGTATTAGACGAAGAATGATTGAGTTAACACTTAAATGACTACCTATTAATTAAACTCAATATCATCCATCTCAATGTTTACTTTCTAACAATCACTATCTAAGATTTCTTTATTCAATTTCAAAATGAATATACCTCTAAGATATTTACTTGTATCTGAGTGATTTTATTCCATTTATGCTTCTGTATGAATTTCTACATATGCATATTCTTCAAGGTTATGTAATCTTTGTCAATTATAGAACAATATTATCCATATCTTTACAACTAATATTAATATTTTCATAAATAGACATTGTGCGTGCAATAGTAGCTATGCGTCGAGTTCAAGGTTAAAAAGTAAAGAATGATCAAAATAGAAAGCAACTCAAAATTTTTAGGAATCAAACATGTAGTCTTGTGAATCAAAGATGGCAAACATGTAGTCTTGTGAATCAAAGATGGTCATACTCATATTTAGGGAGGAATAAATTATGAAATGTATTTTCAGATGATGGCCCGTAATATTCCATAAATTCAATACATGCTCCAAAGATGCATATTTTTTTGCGCAAACCATCGCTCAAAGCTTCATGTCTAATATCTATAAATGCTTAGAGGTCAATAATATAGCCAGAACAAAGTGCTCAACAATTAAAAGTACAAAAAGTTCTCCAATCCAGTATCAGTTATGGTGTTTGACCTTTAATACGTCCAATTCAAAGCTCTTTCTAACTAAACAGAGAGTAACCTTTAAAATTATTCAGCAAGGCATTGGATGAAGTTGATGCCACATTGTATTAAAACTCACTATAATGTGACAATGATGAAGTCAACACCACTGTGCATGTCTTTAAGTTTCAATACATGTGAAACTTCAACCCAAAAAAAGTGATAGGAAATTTACAGAACATGAAAGCATTAGAAATATAATGATTTATTTAAATTAAGCAATATGCTACCAATCAAATACAAAATATTTCTTGAGAAAGGTCAGACCTGAAATTCTATAACTTTGGGGAAATTCTATAACCTTTGGGAAAACACGTCCACTGATGTATGTTTGTGTAGAAGATAAAACAAGGCCTGAATGTTTCATTGCACTTTGCGAAATTACATTGAATCAAAAGATACAAATATGAAGATTTTAAATGAATTAATTTAAGTACTCACATCAAAATCTTCCCCCAAAATGGAGGTGAAATCATATTAGATCATAGCATTATATTCTAAAAGATCAAATGGCAGTACCTCAGATATCTTGAGCAACTCGCATAATTGACTGCACCTTTCCTCTCTTATCTGCAATGGTTTTAGAATAAATATGCCTATTTGATCTGAATCATTAAAAAATTATAGAGAAAATTAAATAAATTAGACTAAAACCCTTTTTAACAAAAACATTCATAATTCTTGACAAGTTACTCTGATCTTGAAACTCGCCTTTTGCGCTTACCATTCTTCCCTCTTATTTTTCTCTATCTTTTTCTTATATTTTACTTTTCCCTAAAAATGACACAATATAAAAAGAAAAATCCCATCAACAAACACAAAATCTCAGAGAGAGTTAGAGATTAGAAATCTAAATTCATGCGATTAAAAATTCACACCCATGCATGCGTTCTATCTCTCTCTAAAGAGAGTTAAAGAATGTAAAATGTTTTAGGTTGGCTCGTCGGATCCAGGAAAGAATAGAATATATGAATTAAATAAATGATAACATTTTCAAATATGCATATAGTAGAGAATTACAAATGAGTCCATAATCAGAAATTACAATATTATTTTAGCAAATTTTACACATGTATCAAAAAAGCAATACTTTGCCCAATTTAGAAACATTTTATAGGTCACCTTAGATTCTCATATTGCAAATATTTCCTCTATCCAAATTAAACTCATAGTATCAAGTAAGAGAGTAAATTCAAATTATCCATATTGTTCATATCTATATTTCTTCAATACTACTGCTATCAAGGAAAGAATCAGCACTGGAAGTGTTCAATAGCCTCCCTCTCCTTGCTGTTTGATGAGCTAATTACTTTCACCTTCATTCCAATCCTATCCAAATTTTACTACAAAATGTCAAAGGCTACCACACCCAATCATGTATGAACCATGTGATTAATTATAATGAAATAGGTATGGAGTTTCAAATGCATTTGATCACAAAAACACATGTATGAATTATGTGATTAATTATAGTTACATAGAATTTATTTCCATCTTAAGTGGCATGTGTATTTCAAGTTTTATTATACATATGTTTTACAGTGTTATGGAGAAGACTAACAAACTGAGAATAATTTGCCCCAGTGAGTCCATCAGCCTACAAGACTACTCATCGGTCAGGTGGGAGTTATTTGAAGAACAAAAGATAGAAAAGGACAAAGTTAAATTAAAAATTACCCCTAAATGTGGGGATATTTACTCTTATCATATTTGAATGACCATTATATTTAAAAATTTTAAATAAAAAACAATCAAAAGTTTTGTCACCCATATCATCTTTTTATAAGTAGTGTGTGTGTGTGTGCGCACGTGTGTGTGAATAAGGTTTTCTTTCACTTGTTAGATCCTCACTACTAAATTCCTTAACATTGTAATATAAGCTCTAGAAAAATATCTATACATGAGCATATTTAGTAGATAACACTAATCTTGGTTTTGCATAAAAAGAATTTATACTTGTTAAATATAAAAAATATGAGGTCCAATTTGAAATAGACATTGTATGTGTAATTAAAACATTCAAACTTGCATATTTATATTTCTTATATTCTATATTAGTTTTCCCCTCCAACAAAAATTTTAGTTTGACCTCCAAAAGTAACCACTATGTTTGTAAAATTCAAAATTTTGAATTTAATTAGTATCACAATCAATAGTATAAATAAAATTGACATAATCAAGCAATGATAAGAGACCAACCATATTAGACACTCAGTGCAATTCAAGTTCAAGCACATTCGAAACTAATTACAATATCTAAGCTAAGTTCCTCATATCACATAGCGTTATTATGAGGCTGAGAGGTCATACCTTCTTTGGATCAAGTAGGTAATCATGCATACTGTTATGCTTCAAGAAAATAGTCATGCTCTTGTTTGCAGTAGAATACGAATAACCAGTTGTAGTACCAAATTGCCACCTAAAAAGACTACTGAACTTGGGTCATAATAGGATTTACAAAGAGTAAATAAATTTAGAAAATTTAACCTCAAGTCTAAAATCCACAATGATATTAGAATGGTTATGTTTTTTAAGATAATAAATGCACAAATGTGATCTAGGATCTAAACTAACAAAAACGTGAAAGATATTCAGCTCTGAGAAAGATCCTGCAAAAAAAACTAAGATCCAAGGCAATCCATCACATGAAAAATGTAAAGTCAAAATTTGCCCAAGAATAACATAAATCTAATAAATCTATACTACTTATAAAAGAGAAAACCATTGTCAAAACTTTTGTATACCCAAATTACCCACTTCAAATTTTGTAATTCAAATTTTATCCAATCCAATCCAATCCAATATATAACTATTATTATAATTTATAATTTATAATAATCTATACTACACTTTCCCCTTTTTATCTCCTTCGCAACCGCCCCTTCACCTCTCTTCATCTGCCGTTCCTCAACACCGACACGACTCTCCCTCTTCCCGTCTCCCTCTCTCTTTGAAAACGCCCAAATCCCTTTATTACCTCCGTTATCCTTGCTTATCCCTGCCCCTCTCCCTCTTCCCGTCTCTAAATTATTTCGACGTTCAGAATTCCGTCAGTTTCCCTCTACCTCTCACGTGCTCTCCCCTTCCATTTGGTGATTCTATAAATACCTTCCGCTGCAATTTTGATAGAACAACGAAGGGGTTTTCTTCCAATTGTAAGTATGTATATGGATATTGGTTATTCTTATTACCTTTTTGTAATTGTAATTGTAATTCTTGTAATTACCAGTTTGATTTTTTGATGGATTATCTTTATTTGATTGTTGCTGTTAGGTGACCGGGATTGATTGGAGGAGTAGAAAGCTGTCAATCAAGGTAAATCAAATTTTTATTTTATTTCTATGGTTTCTAAAATTTTATTTCTATGGATATGGATTATCTTTATTTGATTGTTGCTGTTAGGTGACCGAGATTGATTGTTGCTGTCAATCTAATTATTATCTGGTACATAATTGTTTTGTTTTTCTAACATTTTCTGCATACTCTAGCATCCAAATCAAGGGGATTAGAGGGATGACCACCTAATATCCAAATTCTAAATCAAACTTCAGTTCGCAAAAAAAATAGAATGATATACCTAGAATTAAGGATGTAAAAGAGTTCAGATTATCCAAATAAATACATATCTTCTTGGATACAGATACAGGTATCGAAAGATGATACAGATACGGGTATCGAAAGGTCCTGTCTGCAAAAATTGTGATACATAAGATTCAGATATCTATATGTGTGCATCTCCGAAACCTGTTTGTCCTAATTAACTGTCATGCCTTTACTGCTATGCATATATTAGCATGCCTGTTAGAATCTTGTCCCTTACCGATTACCCAAATGAATTGGCTGTTTTATTCACTTCGGTATTTGTCTATATCTCTAAGGTCAATGTTCATATCAACTTGTAGAGAATAGGATCACTGTTCATAATCAATTTGTGTCTGTATTTGATTTTAGTTGATATCAAATGCTAGATTTCTCAGTGGTTTACCGACAAAAATCTGGGGTTTGCAGGTGCCTTGTGTTTAGTCATTGGGTCTGTTTTTAGGTATCAGGTTAATAGTTCAAAAACATTTTGACAAAAAATGATCAAGTTTCCAAACCCAAGCAAGCTGTTTTTTTAGGTGGCCTGAATCAGTCCTGAAAATTGAAAGTGTATGCGCCTTACTTTTCTTCCCTTTGTTGAAGCTTTGCTTTAGTATTTTTAAGGTCATGCGGCATTTTTTGTTAGATTTAGGAGTAGATACTGTAGAATCATGATTATCTTTGCTATTAAAACATTTCATGCATCCTCCCAAACTTGGCTTAAGCTTCCTTATTGTCCTTTAGTTCGAATTCATCTTTTGAGGCTTCTCGTGCGTTTCAGTTATTTCTGATCACCTTATTCTTTTATCCTCTTTTTGGTTGGACCTTCTGGAGCCTAGACCTTCTTATACGTGAATTTGGTTTTTATTCGTTATGTTTGGATGTTTAGTTGGCATATCCCTTTCTCTTGCCAATTCTATGATCAATTTTTTTTATGTTAACAGTCACAGGATCTTTCCTCGTTTATTTTCCTCAAATCTCAACTTCTCTATCTTTTTTGAATTCTTTCTCAAAATGTACCTATGAACTTCATACGTTTTGTATGAATGATAGACTTCCTGCTAGCCCTACCCATGACATGCAGGTTGGAGATACATAGACATGAGTTTTTACACACAGTATAATTTTGAATGACATTTATTTTTTTAATTTGTGAAATCATTATTTAGCAAATGACAATAAGGGGTTTTTGGGATATATGAAGTTATTGTTTTAATTATATTTGTTTACCTGTTGACATAATATTTGTTTGTATGTTTTATGAATGCGAAAAAAGTATGAGTCTCTCACGCATCATTAGGAGGAGCTTGATATTTAATCTTGTTTGATACATTTTAAATATGGAGCACTTGGGACCCTAGACATTGATTAACACTGGATTTTGGTAGCTTCAGTTTGTTGTTTGGTTTGATTGAATTGTTAATCTGTTTTTTTAGAAGCAATTTGGTGTTCGTAGTAATAGTTCAGGAATAGATGCTTAAGTAGAATGAGATTATAGCTCAATATTACTTGTAGGGTGCATGTATTATTGAAGATAGAGTAGATGCTTAAGTAGAATGAGATTATAGCTCAATATTACTTGTAGGGTGCATGTATTATTGAAGATAGAGATAAAAGGAAGAAAAAAGAGTTTTTTAGCTCAATATTACTTGTAGGGTGCATGTATTATTGAAGATAGAGATAAAAGGAAGAAAAAAGAGTTTTTTATTTTACCAAGGGACTGACCTATATGAGTTGTTTAAAGTTATAAACCTGCTTTCATTGTCATAAAATTAATTATAGCTTAACATGGTTCAGATGGAAACCGTGTCAAACTTAAATGTCTAGGATTCTGAATTTAAGAAAAAGCATGTGTGATATAACAAAGTAAAGGCTTTCTTACAAGATTGTAAATTTGTAACATGAAAATAGAGCTTGTCGAAGCTCTTTATTTAAATGGGTTTTCTGCTAAATTTAAATTTTTTGAAGAAGGGATTCCAATTTAACTGAAATGGTCAGAATGGTTACCACTTACTTCTTAATTTTCAATAGTTTTAGGTTCATCACTCCATTACCATGACTAACCGATGGCTATTAGCATGTAATATACTCACATTTGTCCAGAAGAGTTCCATGCATCCCATAAGCTATTAGTATCATGTATAGTAGAAGTGGAGGTAGGACTGTTCGTCGAACCACTCAAAACTATTTGTATTGTTTAGTTGCTTGCTCTTTCTTATTGTGCAGGGTGCTAATGTACCCCAATAACCCCCAACAAAATATCATACATCGTGGATCAAGTTATTCATATACCTTGCAAATCCCATTTACTAAACCATTCACACATTGCTACAAGGATTAACCTTTGATTAATCAATGTAAAATTACAAAATGATTATGGGAAAAAGTCATATATATAGAGTGTTTCCTGAAACCATACCCGTCAAATACAAGCTACAAACGTTTCTGATTAGTGTTAAAACTGACATAGTGATGATTTCTACACCATTTGCACATGTTCTATATGCTATCGTATATTGATTTTCTACTCATTTTGCATCAAACCAAACCAATCAAGGATTAATCCTATTTCACATATCAGGACATAACTAAACTGGTTCATGCTAGTCATTAAATAGGGAAAGTTGCAAAATGAACCTTACTTTTTATAAATTAATGTATTTTCTCATACTTTTTATAATTTTGTATAAGTATACACACAACATGTGTATCTGCTGTGTATCTGCAGCAGATACACACAATACTGTGTGTATCTACTGCAGATACACACAGTATGAGCAATAAGAAAAACTGCAACCACCTGTACCCCACAACCCAATCCCTCATCCGTATGACAACTCCCTCACCCCAAATCAGTGGGCAATGAGGGGAAAACCAATGGGATACCATGGATTGTGGTAATCAAACCTAAAACCATGATTGTCAATATTTACAAAACGCAACTTGTATTATCTCAGCATTTATTATGGTATGACAAATATCTTAAGTAGTTTTCTAAAGTTAATCTATCATATCATATACTTATTTCATAATACAAGTAATATATGTCATAATAAGTTGAGTTGGGCTATGAATATTAAACTCATTTAGCAAATGACAATAAGGGGTTTTTGGGATATATGAAGTTACTGTTTTAATTAAATTTGTTTACCTGTGGACATAACATTTGTTAAGTTACACATGATCTATATAGTATGTCTCTCACGCATCATTAGGAGGAGCTTGATATTTAATCTAAAAGTATTGAGTCAAGTTAGGTGCTACACATTTCACATCTTCTCCCTTTCCCTCAGCAACAGATATATTTCGAAAGGAGAAAACAAGGAAATGATTCAATATCACCATTTTGAAATTCCTGTATATGATTATGGTCACTCGGTCTAGGCCTAAATGCATTGATTCCTTCTAAAATGTTTTCCCTCTAAAGTTGGAACCTGTTGCAATCTGTTCTGAAATCTGATTCTCTCTTTGTGTCCTGGTTAGGAATCTTGGAGTTTGTTGTGGTGAGCATTAACATGGCAGGCTGTACAATGTCTTTAGAATTGTTTTAATTATTGTAAAATATGGTTATATAGCAGTAATTGTGTATAAATTTCTATATGCAAACACTAGCGAACAGGTAGAAAAAACAATCATTAGTTATATTTATGCTCATAAACCAAGTTTTGCTAAATTCATGAATATGATATCTTCAGGTCCATTACCATGACTAACCGATGGCTATTAGTATCATGTAATATACTCACATTTGTCCAGAAGAGTTCCATGCATCCCATAAGCTAGGACCAAGCATATCCATAACCTGTAGATAAGAAAAGAATCTGAAAATAAGAAGAATGGATTGCTAGGATCTTGTTGCAGAAGCACAAATGTTAAACCAAACTATGAAGCAATTAGTGATGCATGGGTAAAGACAATAAATGCATTAATTCAAGGTGACATAGGAAAACCATACCATTATATAGTAATCACCTTGCCTCCCTTTATAGCGTACCTTAGGCACCCCATGACTACCACCTAGAAAACTATTAAATACAAATAACAGGAAGTATATATCAAAACTATATAAGATACACAAGATGAATTCTGTATAGAAGAGATGCTACACGAACCTGTAAACTTGCCATTCATATAGAGGACCATAGTTACATCCTTTGCTGCTCCTATGCTCAAATTTCAATGAGCCACATTCTTTACTACATAAACACAAGTTCCACATATCTTTTAACTAACCAAAATATGTTCAACTTCTACTTAACACATTGAACTTGCACAATCACATAGTCTATTACGTCCCATTCAGAATTAGCTTCGGTCTATTGTGTTTCATTGCTTTAAACTGCAAAAGTTCAAGCTTGAACATTTATAATTAATATTTGTTTTATTTCAATACTTCCTTGCTTTATCATGTTATTATAGTGTTTGTGGCAGCCAGTATGATCTCTATAATGTCAAGACTTATATTATAGTTATATTAATAATTCATTTCATGGTTTCATAACAGATGTTGTTGAAACGCACTGCCCGGAAATCAGTTCCTAAACAATATGAATTTAAAAAGTTTGTTAATGACAAGGAAATTATAGAAATTTCATCAAATGATGATGAAGAAGAACCTTCCATTGAGAAGTATTATGATGATGATGAGGAGGAGAGCTCTTTTGAAGTTAACAAAAAAGTGAATGCAGAAAGAAAACAAATTCGATCGAAGTGGATGAAAATGTCTCTCACACCTT